GCCGGCCTCCCGGCCAGGCCCACCGGCGCTGGCAGCCCCGGGGAGGCGGCCCACGAGCCGGTGATTAACGAGAGGAAACTGTACAACTCCCTCAATCTTTTCCTTCTGCCGAGAGGCCTCTTCCTTAAAGCCAACCGCCAAAGCCACTTCAGAAGGCTGCCGCGGCCCTCACCGCCGGCGCACTCGCCTGCGCTGCTGCTCCCTGCCCGGCGGCATCACCGCGCCACCACCCCGGGGAGTCTCGCCCACAGGACAAGCGAGCCCACGGAAGCAGCCAGCCACCGGGGCTGAGACGAGGGACAGAACGCGTCTTCAGGAAGTGGGGGGCAGGGGCGCACGCCCCGGCCAGACTCTGGCCTCGGAGGTCCAGGCTGACCAGAGGCCGGGGACAAAGCAGAAGCAGGCGCCTCAAGGCGAGGCCTCACCGAGGTCAGCCAGGCGCGGGCGCGGGGCTAGGCAGGCCCTGACCAACCGCTTGCGCTTCCTTTAGACACCGCGTGAGATCAAGCGCGCACCTGCGATTCCCCAGGAGCGCTTGGCCCCAACTAAACAGTCGCAGCCACGCCAGCTGGGCAGCCACTCGCGGGCGCCACGCGTCAGCGCCGCTGGCCACGCAGAGGCCTGGGGCTGTGCCAGGCCTGTCCCGGGGAGGAGCCTGGGGTCCCCTGTTCCCAGGGCAGTGGGCCTGGATTCTCCTCGTCCACCACGTGGGGCCAGGAAGCCCTGAAGAACAGCCCAGTGCCCACTGCCCCTCCAGGAGGGCAGGACCTCTCCAAGTGAGCAGAGGACGCGGTGCCCACGCCTGCCTGTGACCCCCACATGGCTTCTGTCAGGAGGCTGCCGAGCCCGCGCCCCAGGGCGCCTCCCAGCTGGGGGCAGGCTCCCCCCCCGCGGCACTGAGCGCCCAGTACTGGGAGCGGTCGCCACTCCCCCACCCCAAGCCGGCGGCCGCGCAGACACCAGAGGAAGCCACAGTTCTGCAGCACCGGGACTGAGCCACAGCCACACCTGAGCGAGTCACGCGTGGCGGTGGCCGTCCAGTTCCTTCCCGTCGACTCCAGCGCTCCGCAGGGCGCGGGCACGGGGGCGGCGAGCAGCCTGGGCACAGCGGGCCGGTCACCCTGGGCACAGGCCGCTGCCCACGGGCTGCGGAGACCGCCCAGGCTGGGGGTGCGGCGCGCGGGTCCGCCTGCGCCGTCAGGACGGGGGCTTAAGGCCGGGTTTCCGGCCGCAGGAACACGCTGCCGTTCAGACACCGCCAACCCCCGAGGCGGGGCCCGGGCCCTTCCTCATGGCGCACGCCCACGTTGCCTCAGGAGCACAGTGCCGAGCCCAAGGCAGGGAACGTTCCAGAAGATGCCAGGGGCCTCCTCAGGCAGGTCAAGGCCATGACGGACAGAGCTGAGCAGGCTGGCGAAGACCCGCCCACGGCCATTCACGCTCAGAGCCGGGGTGTGCAGCTCTGCAGCGCCCCGCTTCGCGGCCTGGGCCCACCTCAGGGGGCGCAGGATGACAATCGACGGGGACCTCACGTGAGGTTTCTTTGGTAAATCTGGAGATTTCTGAGCCAGCCCTACCTCAGACCTCCAACGAGGCCTACGGTTCTCATTCAGAATCTCGACAGAGAGCCC